GTAAGTTTTGATGCCGTTGGCCTCCGGGGGGGGGGGGGGAGGATTGAACAAAGACCCCATCTATCTTACCCATTACCAGGATGGCTTCCCCAATTATCACCTCTAATACCATTAGCTTACAGACATCTAACTTTCCCCACCTCTAATATCATTAACTCACAGATACTTACCTTCCTTCCTTCCCCCCCCCCCGCATCCCCCTTCTGTTCTGAAATGCGATTTGTCCTTTTCATATGTGTTCATTTTCTTTAATTGTATCCTTTGGTATATATGGTGCGACTATTTTCTTTCACTACTTGATCTGAGAAAGTGGGTCTGGCCCACGAAAGCTCATCATCTAATAAACCATCTTGTTAGTCTTTAAAGTGCTACATAGTCCTGCATTTTGCTTTAAAGAACATGTAACTAAAGTTACTCCCTTCCTTCAAACAAGACACCTAATCTTTAAAAAGAAAATGTGGATATTATAGATTTTTCAAGAAAAAGATGTGAGAGATGCACTGCAAAAATCACTTGATAACACAGTCCCCTGGTTTTTGGCAGAAACAAATACAAAATTCTAGAAAGAAATGGAGTAATATTCAGAACTTTGAATATATATGCCTGTTAATAAAAGCACAAGAACTATAGCTTTCACCTGTGGCAACTCACAGTTCTGTGATAGTTTAGTATTAATAATAGTATGAAGTTAACTGCTTTCTTCCCTCCCTCGTCATCTTTTAATCTGTAAAGTGTTATAGGACTCACTTCAAGTCGGCTGCTATTAAATTAAATCCATTGTAAAGGTGTCCTTCTGATGAAACTTTCTTCAAGTAAGAGAAGCTGTCCAGATCTGCTGTCAAGAAATTTGTTACAAGTGCACCTAAAAGGAAGAGAAAGGAATAATAGTTAGAATGACTTGCTTATGGAAAGTAATAGAGAGGTAGCCATGTTAGTCTGATCTTGCTAAAATAAAAGGAAAAACTATGTAGCACTTTAAAGACTAACAAGATGGTTTCATAGGTGACGAGCTTTCGTGAGCCAGACCCACTTCCTCAGATCATACTCTGGAAGAGAATTGGCATGACAATAAATACCAAAAGAAAACAATGAAAAAAGTGAACACATTATAAAACTGACATATCAGATTTAGTGCAGAAGGTAGGGTGAAGGGGAGGGAATAGCTATTTGAGTTAATGAATGGCTAATCAGCAGTGATAAGTGGGAAGCTATCTTTGTAATGGTTAAGATAATTAGCATCTTTGTGAAGGCCCATTTGTAAAGTGTTAAATTTGAGCATGAAAGAAAGTTCTGACATTTCCCTCTGTGATCTGGTGTTAAATTCTCTTTGAAGTAAGATGCATGTAGTAAGGTCATTAAGACTATGTCCAGGTAGGCTGAAATGAAAAGCAACTGTTTTTTCCTTGTAAAGAGGTCTGATGTCTGATTTGTGGGCATGAATTCTTTGGTGAAGTGTCTGAGAAGTCTGTCCAATATTCATAGCAGAAGAATACTGTTGGCACATGATGGCATACATTATATTTCTGGATGAACAGGAATGTGTGTTCTTGATCATATAACTGACACGGTTAGGTCCAGTGATAGTGAGGATAGCTAATCTGGCAACTTCTGTCAAAGGAGGAGATAAAAGGTTTAGGATTCCTATAACTGATGAGAGGCAAAATATGGAAATTAGGGTTTTACACAGTGCACAGATTAAAGCAATATAGCAATGGTGACACTTATTTTCACTCTGAGGAACAACTCCCAATTCTTGCTCAACAACTCTGAATTTATGATAGCACAGCTTCTGTATTAGATCATCTTTCCCTTTATCACTCTACTCAGCCTTGAAATGTAATTTATCTTACATGTTCCTTTATAGTTCTGACTAGGTATACAACTAATGTGGATGGTTAATTTGATCTATTTAATGTCATACTTTTCCACCACACAGCCTTATGACACTGAGTTTGTAAGCAGATGAATTTTTTACTCTAAAAATATGAGAAAAATTCTCCTAAAAGAGAAAAATGCCCAATTTTCCATTTCATGTTATGTTCTGCTCACAAAAGTGTGCTAGGAATGCATCAATCTAAAAAACAGAACTCATCCAGAAGAAGTTTCAAGTAAGAGCTTGTTACATATTCAAAATGCTTCTACATATGCTTCTCCATGTAGGAACTAACAATATGGCCAAGAATGACCTTAAGCAGGTCACAGCAGATTATGTAGCACTGGGAAGAAGGATCAAGGAATCTGAACCACAAGTGGTATTCTCGTCTGTCCTTCCGGTTGAAGGAAAAGGTCTGGGTAGGGATCGTCAAATTGAGGAAGTACATGTGTGGTTGTGCAGGTGGTGTCGGAGAGAGGGCTTTGATTTCTTCGATCATGAGACTCTGTTCCAGGCACAAAGATTGCTAGGAAGGGATGGGATCCACCTATCAAGAGAGGAAAGAGCATCTTCACAGGCAAGGTTTGCAAACCTAGTGAGGAGGGCTTTAAACTAGGTTCTTTGGGGGATGGTGACCAAAGCCCTGAGGTAAGTGAGGAAGTCGGATACCAGGAAGAAACACAAGGAGGAACGAGTAACAAAGGAGATCCCCTGACTCAAATGGAGAAGGTAGGGTGATCAACTGGTTATCTAAGGTGTATGTAAAACAAATGCGAGAAGCCTGGGAAACAAACAGGAAGAATTAGAAGGCCTAGCCCAGTCAAAGAACTATGATTTGACAGGAAAAACGGAGACTTGGTGGGATGACACGCATGACTGGAGCACTGTCATGGAAGGGTATAAACTGTTCAGGAAGAACAGGCGGGGGAGAAAAGGAGGAGTTGCACTTTGAGTAAGAGCTCCAGTATATAGAGGATGAAAAGCCTGTTGAGAGTCTTTGAGTTAAGTTTAGAGGTGGAAGCAACAGGGGTGATGTTGTGGTTGGTGTCAGCTATAGACCACCGGATCAGGTGGATGAGATAGATGTGGCTTTCTTCAGACAACTGAGAGAAGCTTCCAGATCACAAGCCCTGGTTCTCATGGGGGACTTTAATCACCCTGACATCGGTTGGGAGACCAATACAGCAATACACAGGCAATCCAGGAAGTTTTTGGAGAATGTTGGGGATAGCTTCTTGGTACAAGTGCTGAAGAAACCGACCAGGGGCCATGCGCAGCTTAATCTGCTGCTTACAAACAGGGAGGAACTAGTAGGGGAAGTAGAGGTGGGTGACAACTTGGGAAGCAGTGATCATGAGATGGTAGATTTCAGGATCCTGACCAAAGGAAGAAAGGAGAGTAGCAAAATACAAACCCTGAACTTCCTAGGATGCTTACATTAAGGGGAAAGGAATCCAGGAAAGCTCGCAGTATTTTAAAGAAGCCTTATTAAAGGCACAAGAAGAAACCATCCTGATGCACAGCAAGAAAAGCAAATATGATAGGCGACCAGATTGGCTTACTGTGGAAATCCTTGGTGAGCTTAAACACAAAAAGGAAGCTTACAAGAAGTAGAAACTTGGACAGATGGCTAGGAAGGAGTATAAATATATTGCTCGAGAATGCAGGGGAGTTATCAGGAAGGCGAAAGTGCAATTGGAATTGCAGCTAGCAAGAGATGTGAAGGGTAACAAGAAACATTTCTACAGGCATGTTAGCAATAAGAGGGAGATCAGAGAGGGTTTGGGGCCCTTACTGGATAAGGGAGGTAACCTAGTGACAGATGATGTAGGAAAAGCTGAAGTACTCAATGCTTTCTTTGCCTCTGTCTTCACAAACAAGCTCCCAGACAAATGCACTAGATAAGGCAGTAGGGGAAGGAGGTGGACAGCCCTTGCTGAGGAAAGAACAAGTTAAGAAATATTCAGAAAAGCTAGACATACAAAAATCCATGGGTCCGGATTTAATGCATCTTGAGGGTACTGAAGGAGTTGGCAAAAGCCATTGCTAGTCTTGACTTTGGCCATTATCTTTGAAAACTTGTGGAGAGTGGGAGAGATCCCAGATGATTGGCAAAACTAAAATATAGTGTCCATCTTTAAAAAAGGGAAGAAGGACAATCTAGGGAACTACAGACCAGTTAGCCTTACCTCAGTCCCTGGAGAATCATGGAGGGGAATCCTCAAGGAATACATTTTGAGGCACTTGGAAGAGGGAAAAGTGATCAGGAATAGACAACATGGATTCACGAAGTGCAAGTCATGCCTGACCAATCTGATTAGCTTCTATGATGAGGTAATTGGCTCTGTGGATATGGGAAATTCAGTGGATGTGATATACCTTGACTTCAGCAAAACTTTTGATATGGTCTCCTACAATATTCTTGCCAGCAAGTTAAGGGAATATGGATTGCATAAAAAGACTGAGATGGACAGAAAGCTGGCTAGACTGTTGGGCCCAACGGGTAGTGATCAATGGCTCAATGTCACGTTGGTGGTTGATTTCAAGTGGAGTACCCCAAAGATCAGTTCTAGGGCCAGTTTTATTCGATATCTTTATTAATAACCTGGATGAGGGGATGGATTGCACCCTCAGCAAGTTTGTGGATGACACTAAGCTAGGGGAAGAGATAGATACATTGAAGAGTAAGTGACCTAGACAAATTGGAGGATTGGGCCAAAAGAAATCTGATCAGGTTCAACAAAAACAAGTGCAGAGTCCTGCTCTTGAGATGGAAGAATACAGACTGGGGGCTGACTGGCTAAGTAGCAGTTCTGCAGAAAAGGATGTGGGGATTATAGTGGATGAGAAGCTTGATATGAGTCAACAGTGTGCCCTTGTATTCAAGAAGGCTAATGGCATATTAGGGTGCATTAGGAGGAGCATTTCCAGAGAAGTGATTATTCCCCTTTATTCTGCACTGGTGAGGCCACATCTGGAGTATTGTGTCCAGTTCTGCCCCCCCCCACCATAGAAAGTATTCGGCTCTGGTGAGGCTACATCTAGGAGTATTGTGTTCAGTTCTGGGGCCCCCACTATAGAAAGAATATGAATGCATTGGAGAGGGTACAGGAGAGGGCAACCAAAATGATTAGGGGGCTGGAGCGCATAACTTATGAGGGAAGACTGAGAGATTTGGATTTGTTTAGTCTGCAGAAGAGAAAAGTAAGGGGGGATTTGATAGCAGCCTTCAACTTCCTGAAGAGAGGTTCCAAAGAGGATGGAGAAAGGCTGTTCACAGTAGTGGTGGATGGCAGAACAAGGAGCAATGGTCTCAAGTTACAGTGGGAGAGGTCTAGGTTGGACATTAGGAAAAACTATTTCACTAGGAGGGTGGTGAAGCACTGGAATGGGTTACCTAGGGAGGTGGTAGAATCTCCATCCCTGGAGGTTTTTTAGTCTCGGCTTGACAGGGTCCTGGCTGGGTTGATTTTGTTGGGATTGGTCCTGCCTTGGGCAGGGGCCTGGACTTGAGGACCTCCTGAGGTCTTTTCCAGCTCTATGACTCTAAAACTCTTCAGAGGAGGCGGAGGAGGAGGACAGGGTGTAAAAAACAAGTCTCATTAATAGGTGTTAGTACCACTTAATGGGATGAGAAAAGGGGGTTAAGAGACTTAGTTAAGATTGTAACAATCATCTTCTTATATATTTTAGAAATGTGCATCTGTGTATCTGCCCATTCATCTATTTGATCAAGAACTCCTAAAGGGCAAGAGTTAGAACCACCAAATTTGATAGGCAGCTTTCTCTTATCAGAACTTAAAAGCACCATAAATGGAAAGGGAGGGGTTTGGCAGCAGGGAATTATACTACAGAATGACCACAGAAGGATAGCAAGGGGCCAGAGATGGGGACCTGGGCAGCTGTAACCCCACTGAGCTAGCAGGCGACAGGAATAAAGAGAGAGACAATTATCTATTATATATATATTGCAGAGTTTGTCTGCATGTCCGTCTCTGTCTGTCTGTCCCTCAGCTGTCTGAACCCCAGCTCCTGCTGTGCCTGCTGCAGCAGCCATGGAGAGGTGCTTCTTACCTAGACCTAAGTGCTGTGGTGAGAGAGGGCTGAGGTTGTCCTCTCCCTGGGGGAGCCTGTATCCTGAACCCCTTACCTGCAACCTCACCTCAGAACAATGATTTAAGTGAGGAAAAACAAAATTTATTTCAGTTAAGACCACAAGCAGTGCCGAGTAAATTGTCTAGTTCCATTGTATAGTCTTCATACTCTATTTGCTCATTGCAACTCCATACCTCTTCCCCTTGCATTTTTATCAGTCTTTGGCTGCATGTAGTTTGTCAAGGCAGCCAGCTTGCCTTTCTTACTGATTCCAAGCCATGTCCCACCTTCTTTTCCTTCCTCCATATCCAAACCTAGAGCAAATAGTGACATAAGCAGAAATGAGACCAATTCAGTACTTCGCTGCAATTTCATCTAATCACAGTTCCTTAATAAAATTGAGTTTAGCTAGGCTGAATAGGTACCTAGGAGTCCCAAGTTTTTTTTTTTTTTTTTTTTGAAAAGTAAAAATGCAATGAGTTAAAATTAAATCAGCATTTTGCAATTGTGCAATATTCACCATTTAATAACTCAAAGTGATTATAGGAAAAGTCACTAAATTAACCTAAACTAAGCTTTAAAATTTTAAATTGTTAAAAAGGAATATAACTGGATTATGAACTAAAATATTTGTTCATTCAAAAGCAAATCTCAGGGAAGGATTAACTGTTTCTGTGTTGAATATTTCTGGACGATACAACAACAACAACATTTCTCAGAGATGTAGTTTACTGAATGCAATATTGATTCTGGTTATTATGACTCTGCTAAATTAAAAATGCCATTCTTTCAGAATATAATAGGAAAGTTCTCTCCTTTACTGTTTCAAGTAAAAAGTCACCAACTTGCACTGAACTCTTTTGCTTTTGACATATTCAAACATTTTGTTTCCACTTTTTTTGCTGTTCCATATTTTCTGTTTCATCATGACACTCATTTGTCATGAGCTTCTAACTTCATCATCTTCACATCAGATATTACTAGTTATTTGGAGCAATAGGGTTTCAATCCTCAGTAAAAAGCTAATTCATTTTTCCGGTATCCAAGTTAATTTCAGTATTTAACGGGGCCATATCTATGAGTGGAAACTCAGGTGGGACATGATGGACACTACTAACTTATAACATGCTAGCTTCAGATAATGTAGTGCGAGGAGTGGCTAACCAGTAAAGTCCACACTGACCCAATCTGCTTGGTTAGAGGTTGGGAAGAAACTGCTCCAACAGCTGTACAGAAAGAAGAGGTCTATGCTGGGAGGACAGCTCTCTATCAGAATGGTCGATCTGACCAGGTTTCCATTTCTGTGTGGAAAGGCTCTCTGTGTGTGCAGATTTCCAACCCCCATGTATATGCAGTAGACTGCTCTCTGCAGGAGAGGAGTGTCAGGCCACGTGTGTGTGTCTGTCACTGTTCAGTCTCCATCCTGGCTTGGTGTTGAGGGGTGGCCCTGTGGTTCGTATGTGAGCCCATCCCTCATTCACTCTGAAATGGTGATTCTGGTCAGACAAGACTGGGTCTAGCTCCCCACTCTGGCTCCCTCACTCTCAATGTTAGCAGATAGGGAGAAGCCTGCCACAGCATCATGTGACAAAAGTACACAGAGAAAGGGCCTTGACAACCTGCCCCCTCCCCCACGTCTTGGGCCCTTATGGGTCTGGATTCAGGTCTCCATCTGCTGAGATGGGAATGCGTATGGGGTGACTCAGAAAATGAGAAGGCAGAGCTGCTAGTATGTAACTTTCTGAAGCACTACAGCAAATTCTGTCTTAGATTTCAGGTGCTGGAGAGACTCACTCGATTGCTACCCCCCAACTCAGGTCCAGGTGAGCCTGGATACTAACTTGGTGGGCTATACCCCACCCATGGCTATGCCATTGGTATGTAATAGGTCTCTTGATGTTGAAACTGCACACAAGGTACTACTGCCACTCTCCATTCAAATTGTAAGAGTAAAAAGTGAATATCTGCCATCGCAGCTATGACAGACAATACCTGTAAGCATGGTACAACAGTACAGAATAAGCACAGTTTTAAGTGTCAAGAATGATCATCAATATTAAGTGACAACAGTTAAGAAAGCGTTTCATATATTTACTTTTTTGCCTCTTTTCATCTGAAACTGAATTATTAATTCAAACAGTGTACTCAAAGAGATAAAGATCATACCTTGCATGGATCTGCCTCATATAAAACCAGGGGAGGAGAAGGTATACATTCAGAGCAAGACCTAAAAATGAATGTTATTGTCTATTCCACTTTGCTCCAGACTAATATTTAGATGTTGAAATCATAACATTAACTGAGTGTTTTGTTCCTCCCCCTGGCCATGGTGTAACAAGGGAGACAGCATCCAAAGTGTCTGGCAGGAATTTTGGAACATCAGCCAGAATTTCTGAAAGCAAGAAAGCTGCAGTGCAGTGGGAGTAATTTATCCTCACAGACCTCCCTGCCAATGACAACACCATATAACATCAATTAAAATTCTTTGCAGAGTCAGACTGTTCTGTTTAAACAATGTTCTGACTATTTGAGTCTCACATTTATTTCAGGAAATACGAAGATGATGTCACATTGCAATTGTATTTAAAGATTGATTTTTTTTTAAATAGAAAATCTGTCAACTATACTGGGGGTCGGCAGCATAAGATGATTTTCAGAGGCATGTGCAATGAACAGGCTCCCCCTCCCCCACAAGACTGGAGCTAGCGCCGGCTTCCTACGGGAAAGGGGAAGTCCAGAGGCTCTGCGCCAGATCCATCTTGTGGAGAAGTGCATGTGTGTCGCTCCTCCGCTCCCCACAGGAAAAACCAGAGCAGAGCCCAGGGCAGGAGACCAAGTGGGGCATGCAGTAGAGAAAGTCCCTCCCCCTCACAGGGAGAGTGGCACAACTCAGGGCAGGAGGCTTAAATCTTGGCACACTACTTTGGAAAGATTGCCAACCCCTGAACTATTCAAAGGGATAACTACAGCCTAACAGCAACTGCCAGGTAGAAAGCTAATAAACTTTGGTTACTAGTAAAAAAATTTAAATTGATAAGAAATGAGCCATACATTATCAAAATTTCACTTTCAGTCTTATTCCATGAAACTATTTTGAAGTTTTTAAGTCACTGACTACTATTCAGCAATTCTATTTGCTAGGGGGTTATTCAGGGTACTGAATAACAAGCTGCATTAGACAGTATAATGCATTTTCACTAAAGGTCGAACTTCTCTAGCCCAGAACTCTCAGGACGTGACCAGTTCTGAACCAGAGGATTTTCTGGACAACTGGACGTCAATATTGTTTAGCAGCATTACCAATACTTCCACAGCTTACTGGGCTCTTAGAAGACATTTCAGTGTAAATTAGAGCTAAATAATAGCATAGACAACTTGAAAGCCAGGACTGGTGGCTGTAAAACTGTGTGTGACCATGGGAAACTTGGTCACATCCATGAAAAGAGGACATCTGACTAAATAAAATCATGCCAGATGACGGATGTTTCCAGACCAGAGTGCTATGGACTAGAGAGAGTCAACCTATACATTGCTTGAACTGTGTCTTTTAGAGAACATATGATGAAGAGAAGAACATTCAAGAAATGTTTTTAGTCAACTAAAAGCAACAGCTCAGTGGACTTTTAAATAAAATGTGACTGAGTTTTCACAGCTGTTTTACAAATTGTTATTAAAGTATCCATTGCATAGATTTGCTTTGGCTTTGAATCACTCTATCCCACCTTAAGGTTTACAAACAATCCATTACAGTTTTTAAGAAGTTACAGTACAAATTATACTAGACAGCAACACAACTATGGCCCCTTCCTCTTTAAAGCCCTTAAACTAGTTTTCAATCATTATAAGAGAGAACAGGTTCTCATAACCTTCAAATGTTCTTGTATTTCTAACAATGCTTTTGTAGATTTGCAAACCAAAGTATCTGGGAAGATAAATTCAAGATAAAAACTGCATTAAAATTTTACTTACCACTAAGAATCTCGTTGCTACTATCCCAAAAGTCTGCTGCTTTTGATGGTCTGTGGTAAAATTCATCTCTATTAGCTGCTAGGATAAGCCTGCAGTATAAAAGAAAAACTATGAATTTCAGATCAAGTACGTAAGACTTGTAAATTTTGTCAGTCTCAACAAAAAAGGTGTACATTTTACAGCTAGAAGGTAGCATTTAAATATATAACCAAGACACTATCCTATTTTTGCCTGAAGTCTGCTGCTTCATTCACTACACCTTCCAGCTTCTGCAATAAATGAGACAGAGGTCTCACAGACAACACTTCAATTATGGCACAAATCTAATGAATCCCTAGAGCAAGTCCACCTTGTACACTTAATGAGGCAGGCGGGGAAAAGAATATATGGTTGTGTAATTAACAACTGTACATAATTCACAACGTGCTAAATTAAGGTTATATAGGCAAGCTCTTTACAGAGAGCGCAACTTTAGAGAGAACTTGACTTTGCAACTTTAATCATGTTGTTTTAATGTAATTTGTAATATATTATATATAAAATTCATTTAAAGATAGAATGAAGAAAATCACCTCTGTTATCTATGCATCTTTAAATATCCAGGGCATAGATGGGATTGTTCTATTTTAGACCCACCCCCACAGTGAAAACTGAGCATTAAGATCATTTGTCCAAGTCTTAATTTAGCGGCATGTGCTATCTTTCATAGATAAAGGGAAGCAAAAGAAAGTGACAGTTAGAAAATGCTGCAAAAGGGCAGAGCTTGAGTTTCCTAGGAATAGCATAAGAAAACATTTTAATCCTTAGTGAGATTTGGCTACTGCAGCAAAAACTCCAGGAAGCCCATGGAGGCTGCATAATCAAAGGCTAGTAGGAGGTTAAGAAATACAATATGTAATTGACAAACACTGACAGATGAAAATCTCTGTTTAAATTTGATAATGAGCTCTTCTCATTCTGCTAGATAACACACTGCTATGTTGTGCTTGCAAAAATGTGTTGCACTTCTGGACATATCGTCTAAACCTAAATTATACAAGTTTAGAGGGTCATACAAATACTGTATTAAACCATGCTGAGTGTTACTAGGGGCTAATAAGAAGTTATAAAGATAAAGTTACATGCATTGTCTTCTGTTTTAGGATTTATGTAATTATAATTAGTCTTTGGAGACTTAACAGGCAAGCTCATGTGCATTTAAAATATGTCTGGTCATACAAGAGACACATGCAGCAGGGTTATTCTTTTTTAATTTAGGCATTGTGGGAACACAAACCAGCTTTTTTAAGATTTAAAACATAACTTCGCAACACAATTAAACCAATGTGCTCACATAGGATATGTCTAAACTACATCCCTTTTTCAACAAAGGGATGTAAATTAGACATATCGAAATTGCAAATGAAGCCAGGATTTGAATTTCCCACCCTTCATTTGCATAAAGATGCTTTTTAAAAAAACCTGCGGTCAAGACGGGGATCTTTTGACAGAAATGCCCCGTTAGAAAGATCCTGTAACCCTCAAAAAATGAGGGTTCTCATACCCACAGGATCATCCCATACTTCCATTTCATTCCTGTACTAATGGTGAAGGTCTGGAAACAAAATAAGAGTTTGGGCTTATGTGTCTGTGCAACCACATCTTTTCTGACAAAAGCCATTAATATTTGTGAATGTTTAAAACCTTTGGCAGTCGGCATAGGAAGCTCAACCTATTGTCTTAATGCAACAACAAGCGTATGTCGTATACAAAAAATAATATAAAAGGACTTCCCATTTACATATATAATGTGTAATAGAAGATACTTAAGAGTCTTTGCTTATTAAAAAAGAAAAGTCCCTTCTTCACTGAAAGCTCTAAGTGTTAAATAATCTCAGGTTTTTTTTAAAAGCAACAAGTGGCCCTGTAACACCTTAGAAACTAACCAAAATATATAGAATCATGAGCTTTTGTGAGTAAAACCCACTTCATCAGATCAACTGGAGTGGAAATAGCAGAAACCAAGATTAATTAGATAGACAGACAGACAGACAGACAGAAAACAGCAGAACAAACACCTAAAATTCGTAGGACTCTGTCACATTATTGGATTCTAAAGATCACTGTTGCACCTATTGGGGGGGGTTGCCCCCAAAAGTCTGTACAAAGGGGGACACGTGAGGTGTCACATGAAAGCTTATGTTCTACTGATTCTACATATGCTATTAATGTACTTGTATAATATCAATGTGGAGTTATAAATATGTACTCTGTGTTGATGCTGGAAAATTCTCTGAGGCAGAACAATGTGCCAGGAATGTTTGTTCAATGGCTATGCTAATTAGCGAGGCTCCAGGGACAATAAATCTCTAGGTGCCAAAGACACACCTAAGGAATGAATCTGGATGCCTGCAGACCAGCCAGAATAATGATTGCTGGCTTGGGACACAAAGTCCCTGGGCCATGTGACCCACTTCAGCTTGGAAGAGACCAGGGATGGATATAAAATGCCATGTGGCAGATTCCATTTTGTCTTGAATTCAGCTTTTGATCCCCAGATGCAGCCTTGCAGGGAGCAATGAGCCAGGAAGAACCGTGTACACATCCTGACATAGAATGTAAACCAGAGACTTTTAAGATAGCAGCTGTAACATCTCTGCTAAGAGCCTGCATTGAGAACTTGGTGATTTGATACATGTAATGTATTCTCCTTAGCAACCTTACTCTCATGCTTTTCTTTCTTTTATTAATAAACCTTTTGATTTTAGATTCTAAGTATTGGCTCAGCGTGATCTTGTGGGTAAGATCCAGAGTGTAAATTGACTGGGACCTGTGGCTGGTTTCTTGGGACCAAAAGAACCCATTCGGGGTAGGTGAGATTGGGTTCTAAAACCTCTCACTTGTGTGTTAGGCCCAGGGCTCACTGGGGCATAGGAAGAGCTTGGGTGTCAGTGGGGTTTTGCTCGAGGCTTCTGACTGGCCAGATTGGTAGCTGAAGCGCTCGGTGTGACTGGTTTGTGGCCTATTTGGGAAGGTCTCTGGTCTGGGGCTGTAAGGAGCCCCGAGTTTGAGCAATTCACCCTGAGTGGATGCCCTGAGCTGTGTACAGACCCAGCCCGGTCCGGTCCGGTCCGTCAGAGACTCATGTTAACAAGGCTAATTAAGTAGGCTGGATGTGTCCCACACATAGCTTTTGATGTGGAAATGCAGATGTTAATGGCAGGAAAAATTATTAAATGTAACTTCACAATGTTTTGACCCACCAACCAAAAAACCCACCAACACAAGCTTCCAACACTAAGCTGACATAAAAAAAAATTGCTTTTTTCATTATTTAAAAAAAAAGAAAAGAAAAGAATGAGCAGGGAGAAGCCCAATAAATTTAATGTGAAAAATTAGACAAAAAGTAGCAAATCTTAAGTATTTTCAGTATGATCTCAGATACAAGTTGCTTTTCAAACCGATTATTTTTCATGTATTTGTTCATTATAAAGTAATTTCAGTGATCCACAAGAGCCCTTTATTTTGAAAGCAATTAATTCAATTGTTTTCAAAATAGGAAACAATGGGAATAGGGAATAATGACTACTAATATTTGTAAAATATTATCTAAGCATTTATCTAAGCCAGTTTTATGGTCAGTATTATAGATTTAATGTCAATTACCATTTGGTTTGCCAACAATATTATCTCATTTCTCACAAACCTAGAAAATGAAAATTATTCCTACTTCTGCTCCTCTCTTTCCAACCAAATCAGAAATAGTCTCTTGGCAGATCATTGGCACCATGAAGGTTAAATGCATTTTCTTTTGGTTCAAAATTTTATTTACTCAACTTATTTTAGCATTGTTTTGGTCTCATAAGCAAAACTACAGGAAAAAATCTTGAAATGAACACACAGCAAAGGAGAGAGGGAGAGAAAGACAGACTCTGTAATTACCATTTTTGGGGAGAGGGGGCCATTATAAAGAGGTGGACACTTTGGAGAAAATCCAGTAGAGGGCGATGAAAATTATTAGGGGGCTGGAGCACATGACTTATGAGGAGAGGCTGAAGGATTTGGGCTTGTTTAGTCTGCGGAAGAGAAGAGTGAAGGGGGATTTGATAGCAGCCTTTAACTAACTGAAAGAGGGTGCCAAAGATGACGGAGAGAAGCTGTTCTCAGTGGTGACAGATGACACAATGAGGAACAAGTTACAGTGGGGGAGGTCTAGATTGGATATTAGGAAAAAACTATTTTAGTAGGAGGATGGTGAAGTACTGGAATGGGTTACCTAGGGAGGAGGCAGAATCTCCATCCCTAGAGATTTTTAAGTCCTGGCTGTAGCCAGACAGGAACCCCCCTGTAACATCCTTTTTTGCTTGCCTGAAGCATACAGGGCACATAGAGCAGAAGGCCCAGGCTGCTGTGACCATGAATGGCTCCAAACAGAGATACGCCAATTGCTGACCAAGAGGCTGACAAGAAGTGCCCTTGATTTAACCCATATTAATACGAACACACAGCCATCCGCGGGGGGAGGAATCTCCCGCCCAGCAAAAAAAAAAAAAAAAATGTCTAGTACTCATAATTTAGTTCTCTCTCTTGCAAGTGTAAATTAACTTGAAACTTGCTTGTAAGAACTGGTGCCACAAAACGGACCAGTAGAATTTGGCCTCTTAGATAAGAAAGAGGATACGGGCCCCTAGGGATATAAAGATGGGTCCAGCAGCACATTTACTTTGAGCGTCAATCTACCATCTATCTGCTGGTCGGGTTTGGTGTTTGATCTCCCGAGGTTCCAAGGGGACGCCCACCTCGTATTCGTCTTTCCTAGGAATTGAGAGACCGGCCCTGGCCTGATACACTGGAGTCGAGAGGCACAGAAAGGAGTAAAAATTGTACCTGGATGTGGTCCTTTGTCTTAAGTGTACACATAGACTTAGAGCTCTTTAAAAATTAAGCTGTCACTTGGTACCATTATTTCTATTTTTTATCTTTATTTTCTTTAAATCTGTATTTGCTAGCAGTTAAGAAAGAGAGCAATAGCCATTGTAACCATATTCTTTTATAAAGTCTTTTTAATAAACCTGTAACTATTTAAGTTTTTAACCTGACTCCTTCAGTT